GTAAATTATCAATCCTTCTATTAAATAATTAATTTTAAGCAATGCAGCTTTCTGGTCAACTCTATAATAAATTAGCTGTGAACAGTGTATTCTTAGGTAAACTATACTATATCACAGCATATAATTACTAGGCTGAAAAAACATAATGACAGACCTTTGTCAAAAACAGTTTGAATTTTAAGTACTCTTCAACTGCTCTTTCTGTAACAGTAACTAGACAGAACAACTGTTTCATAAGGCCACTCTTGTTTTATGAAGGTAGAACCATGTTATCAGCATCTAGGAAAACATCCATTTCTCTCTTTGCATAGTGGGAGGGTGTGCATTTAATACGCAAAAATAAACATATTAGGTTTTGAAGATAAAAGTTGAAGAGAATGAACTCACATCCCCACTTTATGCTTCTCAAATTATTTCGTGGTCTGTGAGGAGATTGTTCCTGTTCACCTTGACTCTTATGATATTAACCTGCCAGTTTTATGCAAGCATATATTTCCTAGTGTTGAGTTCTGGTTCATACAGTTTACATTGACTAGAACTATTTTCTAAATTCCTTTTCCCAGAGATTTTACCAACACTAATCAAATTCCCCAAAGACTGATTTTTAAACAATAAAATAAAATTTTACATTTATTATAGTGGACACCCCCATTAGTCTAGTCAGATAGCTAGCTGTTAGCAACCTTCCTTGTATTAAGTTTCCTGGGAAACAAATTAATAATCTGTAGGGTTTTAGATAAATATAGATTCAGGGCAGAGAGAATTAGGATATTGTGATGGGTATTTTTACCAAAGCTACAGCAGCCTAATGAGTTACTCTTCTCACAAGGTCTGTTCCTTAGCTGTTGGGTGGCAGCTTCTTTCTTAATAGGTTTAGAGACAAGCATGTCTTAACTCAGTCCTCATAACAATAGGTACAGTGAGGAAACTGAGGCATGAAGATGAAGATGCATATGACAGCTCTGTCCTTTGAGAAGTTCACAGTCTAGTGAGGGAGAGATTTTTATACATAAATGATTACCTCAGTACTTGTTGAAATTTAGACAGATATATGAGATGTCACTTGGTGGGAGACAGGCAGCATTGAGTGAATGCTTTAAAGAGAAGGTAGTCTTGAATGAAGTTTAGGAATTTGTCAAATGGTTAAGGGAGAAAGATATTTCAGGCAAAGGAGCAAATATACAGAGATATAACATGAAATGATAAGTATAAGTAAATGAAAATAGCAAATGCTTCAGAATGATTGGATCATGATCATGGTATATTATTGGGGTGGCAGGCAAGTATAGCAGAAAAGTCTTAAAAGACAGGCAGAAACTTAAAGTAATATTTTGTGGAAATAGTGCATGGTAAGGAGAGAAAAGTGTGATGCCTCTGTGTTTAGGGTCCTCTTCTGAATGACTCACAGCACAAGCTCCAGAGGAAAGACAAAGTAACAACTTTCTCCAGGAAACTACAGAGGAAGGAAAATAGGGGGCAGTGTGTGGAAAGATAGTAGCTAAATCAGGAATGGTGGTTAATGCAGAGTGGATTAACTGAGCGAGCCGTAACATAAAGTAAGGGTCAACTGAACAAACAGGAATAGAACCCTGAGAATGGTCTGCTTAGTATTGTGTTTTAAAACCTGAGCCATTAGGATATCAGAATTCTTCAAGATGCATATACCCTTTGATCCAGAAATTCATCTTCAAGAATTTTTACCTAAAGAAAAAAAAACTAAGGCTGGATGAATAGTTGTAGCTAACAATATTCATAACAACATTGCTTTTTTATCTAAAATGTATAAGCAACTTAAATGTCTAATAAAAAGGATGCTTAAATAATTATGGAAAATCCATACAATAGAATACAGGGTAGCTAAAAAAATGGAAGCATGTCTTGTTTATAGGGAAAAAAGTACACTATAAAATCTCTGGGGGAAAGTACATAACAGTATAATCAGTATAATTGAACCCTACATCTCTGTCCCTAACAATTTCCACACAGAGGAAAATAAGTTTGGAAGTGTTAACCAAGGCATTCACACTGATTGTCCTTTGATAATAGGATTGTAGTTGATTCTTATCTTTTTGTTTTTGCTTATCTGAGTTTACTAATTGTTTATAACGTTGAACATGGATGATGCGTATAGTAAGTCTGACCTCTGTGTAAAAATTCAAGTTCATTTAGTTGTCGGCAAGCACAGCAACTGTACAGGGTGAGCGATCAGAGGCCACACCTGGCAGACTGAGTCACCTGAGATGATGTCTGTGGAGTGTCTCCATAGAAGATACGGGCTGTGCCCTCATGCATTAAAATGTACAAGAACTTAGAGCTGCACCTAGACTGTGGCTCCTTAAGTGACATACAAGAGGAAGAAGAAAGGAAAAGTCTTTAATAATAAAATCATTAATTAATCATTAATTTGATAACAGAAATGAGAAATTAATACCTCTGTATCATGACAGCAAAGAGGGAAACTGGGAGGCATCAGGCAAGTGAGGCAGCTTACTGCCCTGTTCTCCACACTGTGGTTAAATCAACCACCTGAAAGGATTATTCTCAAAGGGAACTGGAGAACCACCTCCAAGCTTTTGGAAAGCTTGCCTTAAAAATTCCCTTTGACCCAGCAAGTTTACTCCGAGGAACCTCTTCTACACATAAGCCTACATATGGACAAAATGTCTGTCCAGTGGAGTTTTTTGCATCATTGTTTGAAAGAGAAAAACTTTTGAAAAAATCAGAATGTCCATTTAGAGAAATGGGTAGATGAATTATTTTATGGCAACACAGTGGAATTCTATGCAGCCACTCAAAATAGCATATTAACATGGTAAAAATCTTCCAAACACACTGGTAAGTTAATACTAAAAGTAATCAATATACTAGTTGCCATTTATGTTTTAATAGAGGACCTTACATGTTATTCTATATTTTAGTGTTGTGGGAATTTTAAAAATTTACACTCAGCAGGCACTTGTGTTTTTTTCATAAACAATTAAACATAAAAATCAAGTAAATCTAGAAATATATGCAATATCATGCAATACATAGAATTTCTAATATATTTAAAATAGTTAACAATTATCATGGGGTGAATTCTCATAAATATTTGTGAGATAATATTAATGATAAATAAATTAGAACCCTCCAAATCTAAGTGTTTTTAATTAAATTAATTGACAGGCTTACTGCAAAGGATAAAAGACTATTCAAGTATTCTTATTTTCTTATATTTTATGAAACAAAAAAATTCCTTAAAGAAAATAAATCCATATATTTCATTATGATTACCAGTTAACTTCTCCCATTAATTAATTCTTGAAATATTTTTATAAGTCATGTACAATGTGTCTGGCACTGCACAGGAGAAAACAGAAATGGTTTTATTCTCTATGGAGCTTACATCTTCATAATTACAAAATAAAGAGTATTTTGAACATCTCTATAAAATGATAAAAAATTAAAGAGGAGGTAGCAGACGTTAATAGACAGCTTTGCTGGTGTTAAAAGAACTACAGACTAGTTCAAACAAAAGCAATGTATATGTGAATAAATGATATGCAATATGTATATGTACAGTTGTATTATAAATACATATATATATATTATATATTTAATAATCTATATGCCTAACACTAAACGATGCCAAGGAAAGAAGGAAGGAAACCAGTTCAAATCCACAGGACCATGATGGTAGTTCAATAACCACTGCAATGTCAACAATATTCAAAGAAAACAATGAACAATTCAAGTGTCAAATTTCAGATACAGAAAATAAGTAAAAGACAACAGCACAAAGAACATTTTGGTTCAGGGATTCTTCATTTGATGCTTTAAAGACAGGTTAGGGAAGCAAGACTAATTTCTCTCCCCTTAAGGGTCTGCCTGTTCTGTTAATTGTGTTTAACACTGTGGTATTTGGATTTTTTTTAAGTCTGATTTGGGGCAAGTCCCATAGAGAGAGAGCTGGGACTATAAAGGAACACAATCCCTGTTGTCGCTGTTTTTACATTGCATCTCTAATAAGTGCTTACACATCTGCATCCCCAACTAAACAGTTCCTTGAGGACAAAGATTCTGTTTTCTTTCGATTCCCTAATATAGGGCATAATTCCTAGCACAGAAGAGATGTCTGATTAATACTGATTATACTTGCATGGGATCACAAGTTACTTGTCTGGAGTCGGCATTCACATGGTATATGAGTGCTAAGAAATCAGCCTGATTATATAAATTTATAATAAATATATTTTATATATAAGTATATGCATTATATATACAAATAAAATAAATATGTTAAATATTTATATAACCAGGCTAATTATCTTAGTAGTCACTCATATATGTATAATGATTATCATAAATAATCAAGGGCAACTGACAGTCAATATCCCACAAAAACCCCTTATGACTCAGAAATGAAAAAAGAGGCTTTCACAGATGTGAAAAAAAAAAGCATAATTAACTCTCCATTATCCATTTATGGGGCTCTAAATTGTATGAGAAAAGTTCATTATGGCCAGTCTTGACAAAACTGGGTTACTGTGATTCCAGAATTTTTGTTTTATTATAACATACAGTGTTCTACACTACTGGAATTAACAGAAGGGATAACTCATTTTCTGTAAGTGTGTCATAATTTGAGGATTAAATAAAGGGGGAAAGTATAGCAAATTATCATTCTGCATAATTTGGATGTTTTTAATTTTGATAATCAAAGTTTTTATAATCAGTCATCAGTTGTCAAATTTTAGTAACTAGATTGAAAATGTCTTTCATTTCATCAACACGAAGAATGCGTGAAACTTGTCCATTTTGCTTGCTTTGAATGCAGGGAGTTGTCACCAATACCCATTCTGAAATTTGTAAGAACACTGGCTGTCAGTGATAATGAATTTCCTACCAAAGGATCTGTTCTTTATTATGAATAAATACAATGATTTTAATTGTCAGAATACCCGAGTCAAACGAATTGGCAAGCAGCTACTATATTATGGATGTGTCTGCTTTTTTTCCAGGAACCCCTGAATGCCAGTTTTATGTCTGGGCAATTCTTGCCTTTTTGGGTTTAGCTCTGGTTATATCGCTCATCTTCAATGTTTTCCACTATGTAGAAAAACATCGACAAGGTAAGGCATTTTGGGAAATAGTCATATGGTACCTGCTTGAATGGAGACTGAGTCATTGGAAAACCTACAGAAGACAATTTTATGAAATGTCATCCAATAGGATATTTTTATATCTATAGAAAATCTATTTGATACTTTTTTTCACTCTGAGGGCTCTCTTAATTTAAGAATGTAATCATATTAGAAATGTAAACAGACTCCCAATCTTACTGTATCTCTGCCTTAGAGTACAGAGTAGGAAGTAATTATCCTGGCAAAATACTGCCACTGTCAGCTTTTCTTTTCCAAACTGGGCAGCAGTTTTCATCACTTGGTTTCATCCTCATGTGCATGATTGAAATAGTATCATGTCTAGCAACTGGCACAATCTTTGCGCACTGTAGGCATTCAATATATGTATGTTAAATACATGGGTGAATGGATGTAAGAATCAAAATTCAAGAATTCCTGGGTGGGGTCTTAATATTCTAGAACTAAAAATCTACTGGGGACAGGGCATTTCAGGGGTAATAAATGAATAGAAAAGAAAAAAAACAAATACATTTTCTTTTAACAGATAAAAAGAAAGAAAGTGAAGCTAACAAAACTAAGTTAGACACCAGTGATTAAGAAAAACCACATGAAGCTAATTTAGAACAATGGTCGGATTCTGAGGACAGTCCTTGATCCTCTTTGGAGTGTTTTCTTGAGTATTGATAATGTTAATATAAAATAGGAAGAGGAAAACATTATCATTATCCGGGTTTGAAAAAAAGAATATGAGAAGCATTAGAAAATGAAGTGGCATAGTGGAATATTCACACATCTATTCAGTAGCAAAATCAAAGATAATGCCTCTAATTCTTTGTCCAAAATGATTTTCACCAGCACACGCTGCTTTTACATTGTTGACCAAATGCCCTCAGCCAGAAACCCAACACTCTTTAAGATCTCTATATTATTTCTAATGCAATGCTTTTTCATTAGCAATGACTTCAATAATTATTTTTTAAATCAAATATTTTACAAACGTTATTAGTCAGATGCATGCCTGACATCTTCTAAAAGTTTTTCCTTTATAGAAAAAGAATGAGCTTAGAGTAGCACTTTTTTCTATACAACCGCTTAAAATGACTATATTTTAATTTCTTCACTAAAATATTTTATGAATGCAGATAATATTGTCACCTAAATTAGAAAAGGTGAATTGAGAGTTATGGAGGTGAAATAATTTAAGATGGAAAATAATCCTCTGAACTAGTACTTTACTTTTTCATTGATTCCAGCGGCAATCCTCTGGAGATTTATGTGGGGCCAAGGAACAAGTGGGATTTCCAATTCCCACTTTTGGTAGTTTGTGTATTAGAATTAAATGACTCCTATTGCCTAAAAGCAGTATGGTGGAAAATAACATTTTTAAAAAAAACAGGAAATAATAAATTACATTAATAGATGTACTTAAAAAACCAATTTCAGTTCCCCTGATTGTTTCTAACATCTTGGCTTTTGAACTCAGTCTGATGTGAATTAAAACTCTGCTTTCAATCTTTAGCTGGGACGTCTTATACAAGTAATGCAACTTCTCTGGGTTTCAGTTTCCTTATCTACAAAATGTGGAAAATTCTAGACCATAGGATTCTTGTGAGGATTCTCTAGACACCTTAGCACAGTGCTGGGGTCTGAGTAGGTCAGGCCTGGACAGATACAGACCACATCACCATTCTTGGTGCCCCTGGTGTTTCCTTCCCTGATTCTACAAATATTTGTTAAGGGCTTACCATGGCTGCATGTCACCCCATTTTATTTTAGTGTCTGTAATTTCAGTGAACATTAGCTGCTCTGGTTTCTCCACTGCTGCCCCGTTCCTAGACTCTCTATGCCCTCTACAGCTGCCATGTCAATTCCTGCCCCCATCTCTATATTACCTAACATGTTTGTACAATAACCTGAGTTTCAGCAATAACTGTTGTGTTTATTTAAGTTACATACAGATTTATTTTACAGTTTACTGTAGGCCTTCAAAAATTGGTTCCAAATATTAATCTATCACAGATGATTTTATTTAAGCAGTAATGTGCCCTCATTTGGTGAAGCACACAACCTTGCACTTTATTAGCAGGCAAGCCTACAATTAACCTTGAAACAGTGTTCCCTGATGCCAAAAGAATACCTTTCGTTCTCATTCTACCACCCTTGTTTCTCTCTGTAGCCCCTTCCCAGCCACCCAAATGTTTCCTGACATCTTTTCTCACGTATTAATAGTAACAGCCATTTTTTCTATTCCAAGGAAGCAAATAGCACTGGTTTTCTTCCTCACCCAGAAATTCCAGAAACTAGGGATTTGCTCTCTAGACTGAGTCCTTTCCAGACCTACTGGAAAGTCCTCCTTGCTTTGTTTCTCCCAGACAGACAGATTAGAAGGAATTCCATCAAATTAGCCAGCTTTTCTGCCACCTGCTCGGCCATCACAATGCCCCTATATCTGATCGCATGGAACCTTTAATTTTTTTGCATCTTTGTGCTATTCTTTGCGGCTAAGAACTTGAAAGATATGACTCCACCTTGGGAAACAGTCAGTAAATAAGTTTTGCTGGTGTATTAAACAGCTTACAAAAGACAATGTTTATCCCAGCAACAATGCAATATCTACACCTTCAATCAGATAGGCAAGATAAGCCTCCTTTTGATGTTTTCTGTAGCAGCGCTAGGTCAAAACATTGAAATAGAGTTCTCCCTCCAAAATAAATCTTTCATTTTAATGTGATTCTTTGTCCAAATCTGCTCTTTAGAAGGATTATATTTTTTCTTTTCATGATAGGAATGCATTAGCTTTGTCCTCCTCCTTTGAACCCCCCAAAAAATTCTTTATCCAACCTTTCTTCTCTATTTTGAGAAGGATAAACATGTATATGGTCTGCTCATACATCAAAGTCCTTTCAGTATATCTCCTATTCACTAAAAATTATGACACATTTTTCACATTAAAAATGTACCAAATAATTTTATTATGGACTTTAAGCCAAATTGTGTGTGGAAGGCTGAACATCATAAAGGGAAAATATAAAAGCAAATGTGTGCTCACATCCTCTCAACCATGAACCTGACCGCAACTGTTTGTGTCTGAATCACAGGAGAGGATTATGAAAATTCACCCAGCAATTCTCACAGTCTTGCAGATGTAATTCTTTGATAGCAAAATAAAAACTGCTTTTCATTTTAATAAACACCATTGAGATGATTAAGTAGCTTTTAAATCATACTATTTATTTTTAAACGAACTAATAAACCCTTATAATAAAGCAAACTTTTTTCAGGAGCCTGAGCTTGCTGACCTTTCTTAGCTATAACTTCTAGACTTTTGATTATGACTCCCTTATTTAAAGAGATCACCTTCTATCACACTTCTCATAATAAGGATTATAAAATTAAAACCACACACGTATTGATCATCCAGCTCCAGATTACAAATTTAAATTCTAAGAGCGGTGTGGAATGCAGTGTCCTTGAGCTTACTTTCTTCTTCACATTGTTTTAGTTCCCTTTCCTTACACCCAGGTATCACATTATTATACTCTATTCTTTATATAGTTGCTTCTACTTCCTTTTCCACAAAGCTTTTTGGTCTAAAACTTTTTTTTTTTTTACTTTTATCTGCTGACAACACATCCATCTGTATTTTCTTTCTTATAGAACTTCCCTTTCACACATTACATTAGTACACTTTCCAAGCATCAACCTTCATACGCCAAGCACCTCCAACTGGAAAACCCACATTATCTTTTAAAAATTTTAGTCTGTTTAGGGAAGCATTTTGATGCCATACCTATATTTTTCTTTTTCTAGTCAGCTAACACCACTATTTTTGTTTTTAAGTTCTTTGTTTTCAATCTTTTCTTTAACAATCAGTTGGTGACAGTCCTGTTACCAAACATGAGATTTGGTTATTTCATCCTAAATCAAGCCCCACTTACAAATCTTTACTAGCATCTTAATCATATCAGCTTGTTTTCAGCTAATCCACTTAATGAGGAAACTGCCCAATTCAAATCAGCACAGTTAAATTGTGGCTTTGTATAGGGTATGGATTTAGAATTTATAACTTTGAAAATCAACTTTGTCATTTTCTAAAATGTTTTTACAAGAATGATTTCATTTATCTTCCACATTAACTCACATGATAAAGGCATTATTCCTCCTACTTTATGGATAAACAGATAATCAGAGTTTTAAAGTGACTTGCACATTGTCACATGGCAAATTTATTGAAGAGTTGCTATCCAAATCCAGTGTCTTCTGGTTTCTCACCCTGAAGTTTTTCGATGATACATCAGGCAACATTTTGACTAAATTCTTGCTTCATCCATTTTAATGCTTGGCTAATCTGAATAATAATGAGTATAAATTTATGTCATAATAAAAATAAATCAACGTATATTTATTTTCCAGTTTATAATTTTCTGATCTATATTAACTAATTTTTATTCTTACATTTTAGGATATTATTTATATTTCTTAAGCTATCTGATTTTGTTGTGCTTCCCTTAACTTGTGGCTACATGCAACAATAGACTTCTCTAGGCTTACTCCAACATCCATGTGAATTTTTATTCACAAGATTAATCTGAAGGTAGTGGAAAATATCTGCATCTTTTATTTGCAGTTCATGGTAGGGTATTTCCTGTGGACTAGAAGAAGGGTATTTTGGATATCCCAATGGATTACATTAACCATTTTTGATTCCATAGCTGCTTGGTGATTATGCTCTGCAAAAACTTCCCACGTTTAGTCCTTCACAGAATGTTTCCAAGCATATTGACATGTGGCATGTCCAATTCATCCTCCAGTGTGATTATTTTAATAATTTGCTCCAGTGATGTTTTTCTAACAGTTAATGACCTCTCTGGAGAATAACTCAACTTTATTGCACATAAATCTAACTAAAAATAACCTCTGTAGTTATTTGGTGACTTTCTCAATTATTTGGAAATGTTTTTGCTAGTTCTTTACTAATACACAGTGGTTTTTACATGTTAAAACTGAAAGATCACCATTTGGTTACTATTGTCTCTGAGTCATTGTCAGACTTACATAATATTGGTCCTCATGTATGGGAATAGCTTTTGCATGATTTTGGCTTTTACTTAATGCCAAGTTAAACAATATACAACAAAAACATAATAAATATACTATATAGATCCATCTGGTTCATAGTAAAAAAAGACCTTATTGAACAGATATTAAAACCTACTTAATAATATTGACCCTAATCATTAAAACTGCACTGACTTTCCCTTATTCTCCCTCAATAATTATTTATGAATCTATTGTTTCACTAAAAAAAAATCTTGAAACTATTTTTTCCAATTTTGAATACACATATGTAATTTGAAGTAAAAATACTTCCTTTTATTTGACTTTGAACAAAGGTTCAACAGTGGGTCACTTTCTACCATGTGGCACATAATTTTTTCGTGGTTTTACAGTCCTGCATCAAATTTCCAGTCTTGTTACTGCAGACCAACATACTATTTCTTTTAAAAGCCATTCAACTCTCTTGATTAATTTTAGAGCCTGTGTTTCAAACTCTTCCCAGATCTCTTCTCCCTAGAACCCTCATCTCTCCTTGCTTCTATTTGCACCATGTGGACAGAATGGAATCACAACTAGAGCAACTTCCTGAACACCATTTTTATGATGTTGTTCATAGGCCAAGAAGTTAACAGACACTTCAAAATTAGATAGATGATAGATAAATAGACTTAGATAGGTAGATACATAGAAAGATAGATGATAGATAGATAGATAGATGATAGATGATAGACACATAGATAGATATGGATGAGAGAGAGAGAGAGAGAGAGAGAGAGAGAGAGAGAGAGAGAGATAAATGAGTCTTCCAGGTTTGTTTTGTTTTATAAGGAAGAAATACCTATTCAAACCAGCAAGAGCAGAGACGGAAATTTATCAGAAGGAGGCAGATGTGTTTCATGAAACACAAAGACAGAAAGTATAGCCATGCCCCATGTGGACTAGAATCAGATGGGAAGGCAGGGAGAGAAGGGCCAGTGTTCTCGGGTTGGTGTTTCCCTGCATAAAATGATAATACATCCAGGCTCTCCAGCACTTACAAGCTCTGCTGTTTCCATTGCAAATTACCAGGAGAGACTATGATTGGCCCAAATCAGAGATCTTTATATCTGGTGGTGGTGGCTGAGTGGATGGATTAAAGATGTTAACGGACACTGAGTTAACACACTCTTTAAAAGATTTAGCAAATGTAAATCAAAATTTCATTTAATTTGTCTATTTTGATATCTTTCAGATAACATATACAGGTACTCTGATGATTACATTCCCAGGTATGTAGAAAATGAGTTATATGTATTATGGTTGCCAAGTAATAAGAGAAAGTAACAAGTGTTATATTGCCTATAGGTTTGACTCAGGGATGTTGCATTTGGGTAAAAAAAAAAAAAGAAAAGTGAGTTTTAGTTGCCTTTACTCCTATCTGAAGATTAAAACTGTAATATTATTATCTGCCCTAGTTACTTACTCATCCAGAGTTAGTGAGAGAGCTGGGTAAAGGTTGAAATGGGTCTTTAACCTGGTATCTACAGAATTCTCATCAATTTCAGAAGGAGATTTACTAGATTATGACTCAGATTAGATTATAAGAATGCAGTCTAATTATATATGGAATCATGTCACCTTAAGAAACCAGGGTGGAAAGAAATCTGGCAATACCTCATAAAACTGAAGATATGTATACATACCTGCATAGACAAGGATGCTCCCTGGTGTGCTGTTTTTAAGGGTAATGTCAATAAAGGGGGAAATGTGATAAATTAAAATAATATGTGGCTGGAGATATAACTGATTCCCTTTAATTCTTATTGAGCTAGTTGCAGAGAAATTTGTATAGTAGGATACATTTTTTTAAAAGAAGGTTTATGGCATAAATCACAGTAAAGAAATTTCATTTTCTTGGGCAGTATATTCTGACCCAAATGTGTCATTAGATAGGAGATTTCTCTTTTAGGATAAAAAAAAATCTAAATATAGCGAATTTCCTAGAGGTCTCTTCAAGACCTTTCTGAAATGGTAGATTGAAAGGCTGAAAGGTCTTTCAAAAACACAGAGCTTTCTCACTGGGTAGGATGAGATTAGAGGCTTTTTGTTGGCCTCTCAAAGGTCTTATTTTTATTCTTTTCCATGTGGAAATATCTCTGGCAGATTCAGGATCTAGGCTGCAGGCAGACCCACACAAAAAAGAAAATCTTTATTTTTATGACTACTCTTAGTATTAGATTCTCTAACATGAAATACTTTTCAAGTCATTAGCTCATATCAAGAGAGTTTTGCTGATTTGGTTACAACAAACAATATGACAAAGAAAATCCTATATAACCATGTAGAAGTTAATCTCTTTGATGACTGGATAGTTGTCATTTGAAAGACAATATGCAATGTGAACGTCTTATGAATTGATCATGCTGCTAAATAAAGATGGAGTTGGTAGATTTTGGATTAGGATAGTTAGAGTCAGAGGGAAAGTCGGTTAAAATATCCATCTCAAAGTAGGCAGGCTCTTAGCAGTGGGGCAAACATGGAAGAGACTGGTTCACTTACAACGTTCATTCATTCAATAAATATTTATTCAACAGATACTGTTTTAGACAACAGAGATACAAAGATAGAAACATGAAGAGACTTCTCTCAAGGATTTAATAATATGTTATCTACTGTAATAAATCTCAATTTAGGCAAAATTTGAATATACAGTATAGATTTTTATGTATTAAAAAGTGTTTGGCATGTTAATTCACAAGCTTATGTATGTACTTTGTACCTTGTCTATTTCTGATTAGTTTGGGAGCCAAAATCACCTTTGTAAGAGGGGCATGGAGGCTCCAGAAGAAAAAGCAGTTGTAAGGGGGGAAATCTTAGTGAGAATATTTGATATCTTAATCTAGGCAATGATTACATACATCTAGGTGAGTGTACACACATGCCAAAATTCATCAAGCTGGACACTAAGATTTGTGCATTTTATTGTATGTACCTCAATAGAAAATGTTTTTATAAAACAGTGCAAAATTATCTCCAGCCATTAAAATGCAAACATTAAAACAGCAAGTGGAAATGAAGACTATCTTCATTAAAGATAGAATCAGATAAAATTACTGATGCCTCCTCAGTTCTTAATAGTTTGAGGCTAGCATCCTCCATTCACCCTCTCCCTGCTTGTACCAACACTGGTCTAGGCAGGAAGCTATGCTAGAAGGGAAATAAATTTGCTTCTCTCATCTTATCAAATACCTGCCCTTCCTGCACTGGTAGGTCAGAAATATAATCACTTTAAAGACAGCATAACATCTATATCTAACAGAAAGTCAAATACACATTTCCTGGAATTTACCCTTGGGCTACTTTATTTTTCCTCTAGAACATTATTCTCCACAGTTCTTGTCTTTTTATCTGTGTTAGGAGATAATTCAGTGAAAATATCATAGATTTGAGATCTTGGCAATTCTGGATTTTAATCAAACTTCTGTAATTACTATGTTTGTAGTCTTAGGAAAACAAGCATTGGTGAACTTCAGTTGTATCTTTTGAGAAATACAGGTTGTAATATAATACTTTCCCTTCAAAGGCTAGTTGATAAAAAAAATGCTACTTTATTGGGTGAAAATTAAGGTCTAAGAAAATTCTCCCCATTTGCAGTACATTTACTAATTTAGGAAAGCAGTTAGGTTTATAATTACTTTAATCTTATAATGACTCCCCAGTTTCAGAGTTTCTCTCAAAACCTTTGAACAAATTTCCAGCAGCTTTTGCATGCTCTGCTCCCGGGCGGCACTGAAAAGCGCTTTTATCACAAAACACATCTCATCTCAGCTTTTCTTCTGCCTTAAGATAGTATCTTGGGTTTCTGGTGGGGGATCCCCCTTCGCTTTCTCTTTTTGCTAACTATACTAACCTAGTATCCCCTGGAGCAGATCTCTAGTATTAGCTGTACTCTCTTTACCAGGCCTCCGAGATGACAGACTCCTGGGTAGCCTTCCTGACATCTCAGACTTCCAAGTGGATATGCAGAAAAGGTCCTCACTATGGTAACTGCCAGTCCCTTCCTAAGCGCATCTGGGAATCCCTGACAAGTGCATAAAAGTTCCAAAAATCTTATTCTTGCTTGCCCTTCTGTCATGGCCAGCTGTATCTCTGCTCTTGGATGCCTTTCCCATCTCTTACGATGCTTCATGCTGGCAAATCTTTCCAATCCACTTTCCCTCAAACTTTGGCAAAAGATCCTCAGCAGCTTTTGCATGCTCTGCTCCCGGGCGGCACTGAAAAGCGCTTTTATCACAAAACACATCTCATCTCAGCTTTTCTTCTGCCTTAAGATAGTATCTTGGGTTTCTGGTGGGGGATCCCCCTTCGCTTTCTCTTTTTGCTAACTATACTAACCTAGTATCCCCTGGAGCAGATCTCTAGTATTAGCTGTACTCTTTACCAGGCCTCCGAGATGACAGACTCCTGGGTAGCCTTCCTGACATCTCAGACTTCCAAGTGGATATGCAGAAAAGGTCCTCACTATGGTAACTGCCAGTCCCTTCCTAAGCGCATCTGGGAATCCCTGACAAGTGCATAAAAGTTCCAAAAATCTTATTCTTGCTTGCCCTTCTGTCATGGCCAGCTGTATCTCTGCTCTTGGATGCCTTTCCCATCTCTTACGATGCTTCATGCTGGCAAATCTTTCCAATCCACTTTCCCTCAAACTTTGGCAAAAGATCCTTCTTTTTAAGTGCTCCCAAGCTCTGGCAATATAAGCTCCTAGTGTGTAGAGGACTTTACAAAGAAGTGGGCATATTAGAAGTGAATTTGAACACTGATTAAGAGAACAAAAACTTAGCTTTAGACATATAGCTTTCTCCACTCACCCTCACCCTCATAGGGAATACTACTGGATTTGCTCCCTAGTCTCTAGCCACACAAAATCTTGCTGAGGTTAACACTCTTCCCCTGGACCAGGGGTCTATCTTTGGTGTCTTCTTACCCCTGCAGAACGCCCACATCCATTGCACAGTCCCTGCTGACAAAAGTAGTAAGCATGTACTCAGGAACACGTTGCTCCACCAACTTTCCCTTTTTGCTCCTATATCATTGTTTTTCCTTTCAGTATATAAACAGACAGTATTTTCCATATCTTATTTTTTAAAAAGGAAAAGAATAGCTTTTTTGATGCTACATTGCTGATAGCTCTCTTTCCATTGCTCTGCAATTTTTAAAGCAAAACTTAAAAGTTCCATCTATACTCTGTATTTACTGACTTTTCTTCCTCTTCTCCTCTTCTTTCTTGAACCTACTAAATTCAACCTTCTGTCCTCAATAATCCACCAGTACAGCTCTTGGCAAGGTCACCAGCGAAATCCACATGGCTTAATCTTCACCCCATGGTATGCAGTCCATCTGTAATGTCTGACACATTGCCATTCTCTACTTCTTGAGACACTTGCTTCTCTGGGCTCTGGGCCACCCTGTTTCTGGATTTTCTCATCACTGGTTCCTAGACTGTAGACATCAGAGTGTCAAGTCTTTCCAGTGAACTTCTTCTCTATTCTATAAGTGACTTCATCCTCTCTCCTACTTTAACATGTATACACTGATGGAGCCCAAATTTATATATCTGTCCATTCAAAGAAAGCAAATCAAGTTGACACAACAAAGCCAACTTCTGAGAGACCACTAAACTTGCTCTTTCTTTAATCTGAAAACTTTCAGCCCATTAAAGTAGGTTTATTTTGTTTTGCAGAAATGTCTTTCATTTTTTATTTGGATATTAGAACCCTATATTTATATCATAGAATTTGGGAGCTGAAAAGAATAATAGTGATTAAATAGTTTAATATCCTAGTTTTCTAAATAAGGAAATTGAAACTTAGAGAATTTATGCCCAAAGTCTTCCAGGTAGAAGAATGATTTTTTAAAATTAAATTCACTTATTTAATCTACTTAGCGAATGAATTATTTGAGGCATTTTTCTAAAAAGGACTTCATAATAAGATAATGATCAAATAAAACTTTAAAAATAGAGACTAGGGAAAATATATCAGAAAGTAGAAAATTTGGACCCTAGTATAAGACACAATTCATATTATTTTAAATTTTGGAGCATCAGTAAATATGCTTACTGGTTAGAGGACTATTTCAGTTATGTTCACAGCAATGGAAAATCTGATCTGGTCCCAAACCAGATATGCACTAGCTTCTGGGATATGGGCTTATTTATTAATGTATCCTTAAAAAAATTAATCTTTCACATAAAACACTGTCAAAAAGTTGTGATTGAAGTTTATTAGATACTTGGAATAGGCTGGAGCTATTTGGCATTACTAAGTAAAAATATATTTTTTAATTTGTTGGTTAGGCAACTGCCCCTTTAGAATAGTTTATTTGAGATGATTAATCATTTGAGAACTGTAGATACAGGCCTGTAGATACAGGGCCCTGCATCATAAATCATATCTTATTTTCATTCATAGGGAATAAATGATATTCATTTTTTGGACATGATTTATCATTTGCAGGTTGTATCTGCCATCTGTGTGGGCTAGGAAAATGGATGGATTGTCTTATTAAAAATTCTTCATCAATTGCTATTATAGTCTCTGCATAGTCAGAGAAAAACCATGAGCCAGGACTACTTTGTATCCCAATATTGAGCTGTATTGAATTACCAATGCAAAGAAAGGTTACGGATGAGTTCCTTTGTTATCAGATAAGCAAAATATATGCCAGCATCTGGACTTTTCAAACCATTTCATACAGATATCATTTGATCTGCTAGTATTTTTAAGGACATCTATGTGCTATTTACATATACCATGTCCTCTTTCAGAAGCACAGGGACTAATATAGGTGTATGTCTTGGGATAAAAGTTCTTTTTTCTTTGATGCAATTCTCTCCAGTTCTCAGCGATATGTAATCTCAAAGTTAAAGCAGTTGCTACTATTTTATGAAATGCCACTCTCACTGCTGCTATGTTCCTCTATTCCCAGACTGCCATTGTGAAAGACAGTCACCAGAGCCAGCATCACTGTCTGGTGACAATGGTAGGATGTCTTCTGTAATCCTAATAGGATTACTAAAATAAGGTTGTAAGGAAATTTAATCAAACATCATGAGCAAATAGTATTTAGGGCTTTAGAACCAGCTTTGCATTACAATTTGAGAACTGCCAGTTATTGTCTGTATATTTTGGACAACCTACCTCTCTGAGTTGCAAATTCTTTATACGCACAGTGGGGATTAAAAAAATGCATCTCATAGGGTTGTTCTGAGGGTTGAATGAGCAGTGCCATAAAGAAAAGTTTTCATCATTGATAGTTATTTATGATATTATATATAAGACTAAGGAAAACACGTTAATCTCTCTGAATCTCAGACTTTTCATCTATAAACTGGGGGAATAATATTTTTGCAGAATTTCCCTGGGTCTTTGATATAATATATATAAAACAGCACAGCATCTAGAGGTAATGTGATCAGTCATTTTACTGCATCTGCCACACTGGGTCTATAATATTTCTATGGCCTTTTAATTTTTAAACACCATGATAATATTTACTTAGTGAACATAGTTTTAGAGGATTGTTCAAGGTGATATTCTGGGTAAGTAAGCACTTAAGAGCACAGATAAACTAGGTTCTAATTCTGCCTCAACTACTTACAAGTCTTGTGAACTGCAGCAAATTATACCTCTCTGTGCCACAGATTCTTTATCTGTAAAATGGGCTTCGATAGTGCCTATCTGGTCTGATTGTTATGAGATTTAAATGAATGAATATATAAAATGTAGCATCTGACAAACAGTAAGTGCTAAGTATTTGCTCTTGTTATTCCTTGAAAGAAGATCCAAAAAACAACTTTTTGAATTTATACACACACATGGATGCAGGCATGCATGAACACTGGCATTCACCCACTCACTGACACATAAATATATCTACCTTGGTTGCCTGAGGCTGAACAAGAACATACCATAGTTTACCTGATTTTGAATAGCTGAGAAATTAATTTAAAACAATGTATAAAGTGGATTCTAATAAGGTAAATTTTTTTTCTTATTATAGGGAGGAAGAGTATTATATCGAAGATACACCAATTTATGGTAACTTAGATAACATGATCCCAGGTAAGTTTTATTTTTCTGGAAATTAAATTTATCTATAAATTAATACTCTCCACTTAATTCCACAAAGAATTCAAGATAGTTTATTTTTGGTCACAATCACATTTAAATATCCCAATGGTAACCATAAATTCAAATATATTTAGCATATTTTTTAGTATATAGTTCCAAAGCTCCGTATTGTAAATTGTATTGCAACATTCAGTGTAAATCAACATCCTGTTTCTCTATGTTCTCTTCATTTCCCTCTGGCAGTAATGAGAATACAGGAAGACTTTATTACCGTGAATTTTGACACATGCAGAATTCTATGAAGTAAAGCTATTTCCAGAACAGAAAATGGTCCAGGGAAACAGTGCTTTGTGCTCTGTATACAAAAGCAAATCTGCAGTGACTAACCTGGAACAATAAACATGTTCTTTGGTTTCCCTCATTTTAACTAGTTCTTTCATAAGCAGAAAACCTAGGGCTACCTTAATGACAAATGGGGAGAGAAGAGCTAAATCATCATAGAGCAGGTTATACTGTTTTGTTTTTATGTAACTTCAATTCCCAACATCCCTTAATACAGGCATAGCTTGTTTTATTGGACTTTGCTTTATTGCACTTTGAGGATACTGTTTTTTTTTAAAAAAAAAATTGAAGGTTTGTGGCAATCCTGGATTGAGCAAGTCTATCACTGCCATTTTTCTGATGACATTTGTTCACATCATGTCTCTGTATCCCATTCTGGTAGTGCTCTGCAATATTTAAAACTTTTTCATTTGTTTTTATATTTGTTATGGTGATCTGAGATCAGTGATTATGACTCTGAAAGCTCAGATGATGGTTAGCATTTTTAGCACTATTTTTAATAATGTTTCTTAGACATAATTCCATTGCGCACTTAACAGACTACAATACTATGTAAACATAATTTTTATGTGCACTGGGAAACAAAAAAATTCATTTGACTTGCTTTAATGCAATATTCACCTTAGTGTAGTGGTCTGGATGGGAACCTGCAATATCTCCGAGCTATGCCTGTACTTGAAATATTCCAACTACCCAAACCAAAATGCCACTAAATCTTTGAAACAGACCGCTGTGGTCTGATCCCAGGGCTCGTATGGGAGGAGCTGTGAGAGTGAAGCTAGCATTTAACCTCATCCTTGCCCTGCAAACACTTTACTTGACTCATGCAGTAGAGTTGGAAGTTAACTCCTACTCATTTCTGAATCTTGAACACACAGAATTCCAGTAACCAACTAAGTTTATCCAAACCTCCCTATGTCAAAACAGTATGGAATTCTTCTAAAGTTTAGAATGTGAGAATTTTAAAGGATTCAAGAATTTATTTAGTTTTGTCCTTCCATTGTAAAGTGTCCTCTAATTTCTGCACTCTGAGGAATTAGAAACAATTCTTCAGGAATATATTCTTAAAAACAATTTGCCTTCCTGTTTTACCTTGCAGAATTGTGGTGCCCCTTTGTAATATTTGAAGATTTAAATTCTTGTGTTTCTGGTGGCTCAAAACCCACCATATCTGTAATTTACATGTTCAGGTGAGCACAGGTGTCACCCCCACAGGTGTGAGTTACCAGGTCCAGGATAGGGTTTAGGAATCTGCTACTTAACAAAACCACCTGGTGATTCACCTGCATGTTTTCCATGGACCATACTTTGCAAAACAACACCTTACAGACCTTTCTGTGTTGCTTTTCAGAGAGGGTTGAATGATTATGAGGTACCCAGTATTATAGTAAATATATCTTTTTTCTCTGTGGGGCCAATTTGGTACAACCCACATTTCTGCCAGGTTACTAGTCATCCTACAAGTCACTATCATTCTTTCCTCTCCCTTTAAAATGGGTATATCTGGGTGAAGAAAGGTACAGATGATTCAAGAAGCCTATCTCCAAGGGTGTAATGAGGGTACATCTGCTGGCTGTGGGACATACACACAAACTCCAAGTAATTAGGATTCAGGCCCTCAGAACAGCCTGGCTGAACTATCCTGTCACTGATTTTTAACAAAAACCATAATCTAAACCCTCTTTTTCAAAAATAGAATGTAAGGCTTAAAATACCCTTGAGGAAAACTTACTTTTTGGAAAAATAACCAAATTGTAATCATCAATGTATATGTACTGTGCTTTACACCAGTACATACCATGTGCGATCATACCTACACAGGAGTGAACACAAGCAATCCTTTAACTCATAGATCTCTGCAACATCTAAATGGTAGTTTAAGTTGGGACTGTCATGTCTTGTGATGACATAAAAAAATATATATATGATTTAGTATTTATCCCAAATGACCTTTTGCCTTTTAGCTAGTACTGTAAGTCAAAAGACTTTTCTATTCTGGTCTATAGAACAGTTTGTGTTTCCTTACCTCTTTGCATCTCCATGAAAAAAACTAGTCAGATTATTCCTGGGGGTTTCTCATGTACAGCTAAATGTTGTTTGGGTCATGTATTTTCATTTGAGCCAGCCTTTTTCACTTTTCCAATGTAAATCATGATATTTTCAACTCCCAAGAACCAATGGATGAAAACTGCTATGAACAAATGAAAGCCCGACCAAACAGATCTGTGAATGAACCTCAAGGAGCCACTCCACCTGCACAGGTAAGTTATGTTTTCTGAATCAAGGGTAAAGTTCAGCCTTGACACAACCCAGCTCCATGTTTCAAGAGCATTAAAGTAGTGAATTCTGATGCACATCTGAAGCAGCCTGTTAGAAATTTTGCAGTCTGAATCAGTTTAAAGTTCTGGGACCTGAGTTCTAAATGGAAACTCAAAGGCAAGTCAACGGTTCTCAGAATCTCACTTGAAGCGTCAAAATTGTACACAATTACAGAGGCAGTAGATTTGAAAGGAAAAGTGGATTATCTTCCTAAATAATCAAATAAGCTTTTGCTTTCAGCTTGAAAAAATTATGTGCATCACAGAGATAAATATAAAAGTTGACACATGTATAATGTTCACAGAACCTAGATTCCAGGATTTATGAGGGGACAGGGTGAGAAAGAGAGAGAGAATGAGACCTTAGGTTAAAAGATTAACTAGCTGAATATAAAATACCGCACTTCTATTTTATGACGCAAATAAATATAAATTTAAATACAAGTACTATGGCTGTGGTCTTATGACAGGTGTGGGAATAGTCAGGACACAAGCCTAAGCAGAAACATCAAACACAAATGGATAGTTTCTCCTTTCCTCCCACAATCAGTTCAGCCTCCTCAGATATTGCCCTTGACTTCATCAAAAGCCATTCACAATCATTAGCCTACATGCTGCTAAAGTGCTATAAATTTCAGTTAAAATAGTTCTTGCTTCTCCTCCCAGATCTTGTCCCTTCACTTATGTGCTCTCTTACTACTCCCTGGAAAGAGTCAGAGGGCCAGCATTGCCTACGCGTTACTATGGGCCAGACCTTGTATTATGTGCTTTGTATGTGTTATTTTAGATTTCTTTGAGGGAGGCAGCATTATTATTCCCCTCTGAAACTTGCAAAGGGTGAAAAACTTGCCCTAGAGCACTCAGGTACTAAGTGGGAAGGCAGAAGCTAAACTTAGTCCTGTCCAGCAGAAAATAGTCTCCTCCCTAAGAGGGGTCCCATCTAAAAAGTTTTCCATTTAAGGTAGAATTTTTCTCTCTTTCTTTATATGAATCCCAAGATATAAAAATTGCTGAAATTTTTATTAAGAAACCAAGATGTGGTGAGGACTTAAGCAAAATGTAAAGTCAACCTCTGATGGACAAATTTGTCAGCTGATGTTCAATTAATTGTAAAATCATATTTCTAGATAAAAGATATGAAAACTTCATGTTATAATGTGATCTGATAAATCCACAATAGTAAAAAGAAAACCTCTCAAAGAAGGTTGAAAGATAACTATACCATATGAAATGTAGACATTCACAGCACCTTAATTGCAAAACAATGAGAATTCTGAATAGAAGTTGCTATTTAATACAGATTAGTTGAACAAGCCAACTTTATTTAGGCTGCGTCTGGTTTTTACTGAAGTGGAAATTGTGCAAAATTTTACCATGTCTTTAAAAATCTGCTATTGTATAAATTATATATTTAAAGACACTTCTAAGGTGATTAGTCCTTATTGTATTACACCTTACTCACAAATTTAGTTTCACAAATTAGAAATATAATCTCTTTATATCTGCTCAATTCCATTTTATTAGAATGATCGTTATCATCAGAAACACCACCGAGTTTACCGCTACAATATGAACACTGTTACTCTGGTCAATTATGAAAACATAAGGAGACTGTAATATTGGGCATGAGTCTTGATGGATAAAGTGTTTGTTTGTTGGAAAAAGAAATAAACTACTTTGCCCTTTGAAAATGATGTGTCAGTGCAAAAGTTGTGATTTTGGTAACTAAGTCTACTATTAGGAAAGTTCATCAGGAAACCTAATAATAAAATGAGTACACAAGAGAGCCCAAATACTAAAAAAAATTGAGGGATATAAGTGTGAGCTTGCTCCTTTTTTCTTTCTTCATGTCAAAAATCTCTCACCAATCTCCTATCCCTCCTATGCCAGAAGCATCCTCTGTCCTTTCCAAAGCCAATACTCCCACTTACACTCCTGATTTTTCCTATTGCTTCTAAGGTCTTACACCTTCAATTGCTTTCTTTAAATGAAGCATTACTATTTACCTACCAATATGCACAAATCATCCCAATATATTTAAAAATAAAAACAAACAAAATAATACAACTGCTTCATCCTGTTTTTCTAATTCTTAAACTGACTCTTATTTTCCTCTATTGTTTCCATTTCTTTTCAAAGATACACATTCTTTTACTCCAGCTTTATCTTCTCCACTCATCCACTCAACTGAAACAATACTCTGGAAGTCACAGTGACTACTGCATACAGTTTAGGGCCTTTTCTCAGGACTCACCTTCTTTGAACTCCACAGCACTTGGTAAAGTTGACCAACTATTGACCAGAGGTACATTACTTGGAATGTGTTTTGGTTAAGTGCAGAAACCAACTCACACCACTTTAGTAGAAATGGGAAATTACTGGCTCATGTAACTGGGAGATGCAAGGATGTATTTTGTTTTTGAGATGACTAAATATAAGGGCTCTCTCTATTTCTCCTTCTTGCTACTTTTTACTGACTTCATTCTCTTTTATTACTAATAGACTCTCCCACTGAGGCTGGACAAGCCACTGACAGAGCTAGATAATACAACTCCCAGCCCCAGGAAAAACAATTTTTCTATTCTTGCCTCTACATATCTATCTCAAATATGCCATACAGTTGGCTCTGCTGAAGTCACATGTACATTTTTGGGCCAACTTCTGTTGCCAAGGAGATGGGTGTTATGACTGGTTCCAGTGTAGGTAACGTGCTTGTTCCTGTGTTGGGTTCTGTAATCGGTAGCCTCTCTGGGATCAGATAAAGCATAGAAAATTTCCTAATGGAAAATGGGGACTTCATCAAAGAAAAAGGATAGAACACAGTGTTGACAAGCAAAAAAGATATCCGGCCCTTTGAATTACTGAGTGCCTTCTAGTTATTTCTGGACATCACTGCCACCTCCTCCTCTGTCTGCCTGGGCAAAAACAAAGCAGGTAGAAGCAGAAGGTGTGTGCAGGAAGCAGGGGACTGCCCATCTGGCCTGGAATATGGAGCTCATTTAGGGTAGTGGGAACTGAAACCGAACAGGTGGCATACAAACATGCAAAACCTTGAAAGTCAGGGTATTAAATTCAGGCTTTAGTCTATAGGCTAAAAATTTTGGACACATCATGGTAACAATATGAAAACAGTGCCTTAGGAAGATAATCTGAAAACAGCATACAGGCTAACTGGCAGAGGAAAGAGACTAGAGCCAGGATACCAGTGAGGCAGCTATTGCAATGCAGTTTTCCTGAAATGATTATTTTAGGAATAAAAAGTCAGAAAAAGATGCTAGAGAGGTTGTAAATAGGACCATTTCTTTTGTCTGGTAGCAGATATAAGACATTTAACTTAATATGAAAATAAGTGCAACAGGGAGATTTTAAGGGTTTTGTTCATCTAAATGTTGCTTCCTTACCCTCTACCCCCACAAATTGATACAATTAAGGCAAACCCTTCATACAGAAATTTTTGATTTATTCAATAGTTGTCCTGAAGTTTTAGCCTACAACTTCTAATAATTATAATCTCACACCCTACTTTTGGTTATAATTATAGCTTCTACGTGTATGGTCTGTATTTACTCAGAACTCTGTAAGAAGGGTACTCTTGTTTTATAAGCAAGAAAATTGAGGCTCAAAACAGTTTTTAAAAATTTCCCAAGGTCCCATCATTGTATTACAGATCTGGGATTCAATTCTGGGCTTTGCAGCACCATATTCAACATCTTGCCAATTTTCCCTAGTGTCCTGTCCTACTTATTCTAGTATGGACACAGGTCTAGACCAGAGAGGACCACAAGCCCCTCTTGGATGAGAATGAATATCTCCAAGACTAACCTAAACTCAGAGGATCGTGGGGCAGGCAGGCAAGGGAAAGATGGGAAATATAATTATTGTCAATGCCAGTCATATCAATGAACAGTTATCCTTATACTCTGAACCTCAAGAGTATAGAAAAATTGGAGACTTTGATGGTCATCAAATGACCAATTATTAAACATACGTAAAGTGAACTTCATGATTTATTAAATTCCTTTCAATCATGCTTGTGCCCAGTTTCACAAATTGGAGTATTATTACTTGGGAGGAACAATATAGGGGAAGAGCTACCTAAAGGGAAGGCAGAAGGAGAAGAAAGTTAAGAGTCCATCTAAAATGTTCATGTGTATTTTGAGTGTAAGAAAGAAAAATACACACCAAAAATTCATCTAAGAGTTTTTTTCCACTCAAAAGCCTTGAGTTGACTGTTTTTTGTTGTCATCCATTCAAATTTGGCAAACAAGGTATTGGAAACCCTGAAAACAAGCTGCTGTTTTTCATAGACCTTAGAAGGTCCAGAAGTCACCAGAGTCAAAGAATGGGCTAACAGTGAGAAATCAACATCCTTTCTTTTCAGGCCATGAATGAAACACAGATGTTTTACGCTTCACTAAATCACAGCTATGAGGAGAAGTGCAGAAAGCCCAGGAATCAGATTGCTTATTTGCCAGTCAAGAATGAAGGTGAGCAATTATGTGCAATGGATGCCAGTGCATCTAAGACCACTTTGGTAGACAGTGTCCCACTGGAGAGCCAGGCAACAGAGGAAAATATTCACGATGATCCCATCAGACTGTTTGGATTGATTCGTGCAAAGAAAGAATCTACAGACCTGCTGGAGTATGATCTGGCTCAGTGAGTCAGCTCGTACTGGAGACAGTTGTTGAAGAAAACAAAATCTCCATATGACACTGAATGGTTTGACAGGGTGACAATCTGATGGTTATTTGTTGGTGGTATGGCAGCTTATCTCTTATCCAGAGCTTACATGCATGCACACCAAATGTGATGATGTGAAAATTACTTATTTGAATTAGTTATTAGAATTCACTTAAAAAAATGCCAAAGTAGTAAAATGTAAAATAAAATCAAGTTTGCAAGTTGAGCCTGATAACAAAGTCACAAGTTCACCAACAATACTTGGTACTCAGTGAAATAAAACAAAACAAAAAAATGTTTTAGACATAAGTGTGCTCTGGAGCATGTTCAAAGAAAAATAAATGTCAGTGTGGGGTTTTTTTACACATTTTTATTTTCTTGCCAATGTAAAACACCCCATCATTGGAAGAAATTTCTGACTGAAAGGCATAGCAGACATTAAAATATATTCCTAAGAGAAATGGGATAATCTTAAATATTTCTCACAAATGGTAATGTATTTATTAGCTTTAAAATTATTATAAAACCAATGCATGTACCTTGTAACAGTACAGAAGTATCAAAAAAATTAGATATTCCACTAGCCAGAGCTAATCACTATGAGCAACTTTCTATACATCTTTTTAGATATTTTTCTGGGCATGTCCATGTACATACATCAGTTGTTTGTTTTGTTTGTTTTTCTTACAAGAAAAAAGAGGAGTGATTATTTTATACATATTATTTAAACTTTTTTCACTTAACAATATATTGTGGTTTTATTTTTATTGTTATTTTGAACTATAACTATACTTACATAATTTTAATGCATAGCATCTCATTGATGGCTACAAAAGAATTTATTCAAATAATTTTGAAGTACATTCAGCTCATTTCCAAATTCAGATTTTTGCTTTTACAAATAATTTTGTAATGAGAATGCATCCCCACACGTGTTTGGGTACTTGTCTGACTTCTTTAGGTTAAATGTCTAAAAAAGGAATTGCTGCTTTAAAAAGTGTGCATCTATAGAATATATTTCTGAAAGGTCAAGAATTTGGTCAAAGTGTATTCAATTTAAATTCTGATAAATACTCCTAAACTTCTCTCCAAAAAGTTATTTTAAAAAAACTTTCTGTTATCTTTCTCCATTTGGAATAGGAGCTTAATTGGTTCTCAAATCATCACTGACCAAGAAAATTATTAATGTCAGCTGTCTCTCCTGTCCTCTGACCAGAGCTCAGCAGATTTTATTCATTCTCTCTTCAATTTTTTGTTGAGCTCCAACGGTAGTTTAGCCATTTATACACCAGTGTTCAACAATGAGGAAGGACAATAAAGAGACCCTTCTCCCTTGGAACTTACACTAGTAGAAAAGATGAGTATCAGGTTAACAAAGAAAAATGTAGCTACTAGTAAAAAAGGCAATTAAGAAAACATAAAAATGAGAGAGCAGAGTCTCTGAAGAGGAAATTTAAATTCTGGGAACTGAACAAAAAGGACCCATCTATGTAAAGAGAAAAGAAGAAAGTGCGTTGTGTAACAATTTTATCCATGTTTGGAAGTACCTACATCTGTCAATATCTATTTTTTATTATGAATCTGTATAAAATAAAATACTAATGCCAAAGTTATCTTTATTGTTCCCTTTATTGTTGCATGAATTTGATAGTTCATGTCTTTCTAGGAATTTGTCCCTCTCATCTATGTTTTTAAATTTGTTGGCAAAAAGTTGTTCAAAATATTCTGTTTTATCTTTTCAGTATCTGTAGAACCTACAATGATTTCCCTTCTCTTTGATATTGGTAATTTGTTTTTTTTCCTGATCTGTCTGGTTAGAGATTTTTCAATTTTTTTGATTCCCTCAAAGAACCAGTTACTGTTAAAATAACTCTTCTATTGTTTTTATATTTTCTATTTCATTGGTTGACTCTCTGATCTATATTATTTACTCTCTTCTGTTAAGTATGTTTCATTTGTTCCTCTTTTTTTAGCTACTTAAGGTGGAAGCTAAGATCAATATAAAGCCTTTCTTCTTGCCTTGAATAACATATTTTTATAGATATCCCCTAAATTTTGATATATTGTTTTCACTTTTATTCATTTTAAGTATTTCCAATTTCCCTTTGATTTCTTCTTTGACCCATAGGTTATTTAGAAGTGTGTTATTTAGTTTCCAAATATTTGAGGAGTTTCCAGATCTCTTTATTGATTTCTAATTGAAATCCACTGTTGTCAGAGGATTTATAATTTGTCATTCCTTTATTGCCCAGAATATAGTCTTTGTGGGTGACGGTACGCACATGAGAAGAATGCATAGTCTATTGTTGTTTGGTAGAGTGTTCTATAAGTGCCAACTAGGTTAATTTGCTTATAAAGGTTTTCAGTGATTCTATATCCTTAATGAATTTGCCTACTTGTTCTACCAGTTATTGAGAGGGGAATGTTGAAATCTTTGAGTATGGTACATTTGTCTATTTCTCCATGCAATTCTATGTTTTGGTTTCATGTATTTTGAAGCTCTATTATTAAGTACATAAATGTTTAGAAGTGTTATGTTTTCTTGAAGAATTGATTCCTTTATCATTATGAAATGGCTGTTTTATCCTTAACTATTACTGTCTCTGAAATCTACTTTGCCTGATATTAATATTGTCACTACAGCTCTTTTGATTAATGTTGGCATATCTTTTTATATTCTTTTAAACCTGTTTACATATTTTTATATCATCTTTTAACTTATTTACATCTTTATATTTAAAATCCATTTTTTGTAGGTAGCATATAGTTTGTTTTGCTCTTTTTAAATCCAGTCTGAAAATCTCTACCATTTAATTGGGGTATTTAAATCATTTTCATTTAATGCAATTATTGATATGGTTGAGTTCAGAAAATGCTCTTCATATCTGTTTTCTATTTGTCCCATCTGTTCTTCATCCATTTTTACACCTTTTTATGACTTTCTGGATTATACCAATTTTTTCTTATGATTCTATTTTATCCTCATTGTTAGATTGTTAGCTATAAATCTACATTGTGTCACTTCAGTGATTGTTTAGGGTTTATAATAACATCTTTAACTTATCCCAGTCTACATTTAAATGATATAATACTACTTTGGTGTAGTATAAGAACCTTAAAACAGTGTACTTTTATTTCTCCTCTTCTCACCTTTATGCTCTGGTGTTTATATATTTTATACATTGTTATTATTTTTTCTTTAAAAAGCCGATTATCTTTTTTAAAGATTTAAATAATAATTTTAAAAGAGGTTTTCATATCTATCCCTGTGGCTAATATCTACAGAATTCCTCAATCCTTTCTGTAGCTCCAGGCTTCCTCACTAGATGAAAGCCTTTAACGTTTATTTGAGGTCAGGTCTGCTGGTGGTGAATCTCCTCAGCTTTTATTTTTCTCAAACAGTCTTTATTTGCTTTAATTTTTGAAATATATTTTCACTGGGTAAAAATATTTCAACTATATGTTTCTTTCAGTAATTTAAAGAAACTGCTTCACTCTCTCTCAGTTGTATTGTTTCCTGAAGGAAAATCTGGTGTCATACTTGTCTTTGTCCCTCTGTATATTATCTTTTTTTTTTTGGATTTGAAGATTTTTTTTTTTAATCACTGACTATAAACAAATATGCCTCACTGTAGTTTGTAAGCGTGTTTATCTTGTGTATGGAGATTATTGAGCTTCCTGAATCTGTCTTTGTAGTTTTCATCTAATTCTGGGGGAAAAAATATTTCTTTACATATTTTTTCTGTACTCCCATCCCAATTTTAAGGTTTTCAATTACTTGTAAATTATTCCATATTTCAGTGATCAAGTTATTTCAGTCTTTTTTCTGTGTTTCATTTTGGATAGTTTCTCTTGCTATGTCTTAAAGGTCACTAATCTTTTCTCCTAAAATATTTATCTGACAGTAATCCCAGTTGGCATTTTTTAATCTGACAATTTAGTTTTTAGCTCCATAAATTCAGCTAGGTTTAATATACTTTAAATCTCTCTCTGAGGTTTTTTGCCTTCATTTGATTAACAGAACATTTATATTTAGACAGTACAAACAGGAAACACCAAAATTTAGAAGGGAACAAGAAAGAATACAAATTCAAGAGAGATGCTCTCCTAATGCTGCTTACCATTCCTTTAACCTGCTCTAAGGGAAAACACCTTACCCACTCAGCTCCTACCACGTAAGAAGTCATGGTTAACTGGATCAAAAGTGAATTAAAGTTGAATCAGGACAGTCCATTTATCTCCTAAATCAATCTATGCGCAGGAGATTGGACAGCTACCACTGGGGGCAGAGTTGTAAGGATATCGTAAAATAGAATAGGGGCGCGGAGATGCAAGGCACAATTACAGGGGGCAGAAACTAAGTGAGCACAAGAAGACAGCTGGTAGAGAATGAAGTTCCAGATTCCAGAACTAATCCTACTAATCAGATAACCATCATAACAAAAACAACTCATGTTTATTAAAGCTTGCTAAGCTCAAGACACTGGGCTAAGCGCTTACCTGCATACCTGATTTAATCACATAAAACCCTGAAAGATGGGTGCTATTATAATTCTAATCTTATAACTGAAAAAAAATTGACTGACAAAGAATAATTTGCACAAATAAACTGTAGATTCAGGTTTTGACGACACAGTCTGGGTCCAGAGCAGGCTCTGTAGAAGAACTGATCAAATAGCTGGTTGCAAACACCTTTGAACCTATTTTTGGATTGTCCTACTCCTGCCTATTTAGCCATAAAAAGCTCTCCTTTAAGTAGACTGACTGAGTTTCTATTATTTAAAACTAAAAGACTGTGACTGACTTTCTGTTATTTAAAATGCACAGAGGCTAACTAAAACAAATTTAAAATTTCTTTAAAGTGTTGAAAAACAATGACAATTTACAGTAGCTTTCACACTAAAAAGCTTCTGTGGTTTAGGACAAATCCACTTAAATGGTAGTCTCTTGCTTTCAATAAACACTAATATATATATCACATGTTCATATTAGTGTTTTGTAGACAAGTATTTTATCAGTGCTGCTTGCTTAAAATACCTTAGGTTTTCTTTATCAGACCTCCATCCAATTGATAATCCAATGATAATCCAAATTACCATTTCATGATTTCAGATGCTAAAGCCATGTTTACTACTCTGAAGAAATTCAAAACTAACTTACAAAAACATTCCAATGTTACAGCTAAACATCACTTTGTGTTCAATTTTGTCTGTGGGAGATGAAAGTTACCCATTTAGAATTAGAGAAACCTTTGGTATTTAAACCAAAACGGAAGGAGAATGGAGTAAAGTTTCCATCATAATGTCCTTACCCACCTTGGATGGAATGGACAACTCTCTTAACATGCCAGTATCCATCATAAAACTTGAGAGTTGGTAGAGTTTTGTTTTGTTTTTATTTAATTGATTTAGACAGCAGTAGGTAGATTAATTTAAATAATTGGTCCAAGAGTTAAATAATAAAAAATACCATAAATATTTAAACGTAAAATGTATAAATATTTGTTCACTAACTTTTGAACTTAGAGCCAAGACCTTTTCTTGAGTAGATCATGATGGGAATTCCATGACATCTTTCTTACATAAATCTCATTGTCCATAAAATACTGCCTATAGCCCTACTCTTACTTTCTTTAAAGTGAAATAAGTCTTAAAAACACTTGTGATTGAAATCTTAGTACAGAATAGTGCTAGATTTTGGGCTTTCCTTCCAAGATGTTTATAAGCATTTTACCCCCATCTAAATTGGAAGCAATTTTAAAGCAATTTCAGCATGTTTATTGATTCTTTGCAAAACACTGAACTTAATTATCATAGAAAGAACTCTATCTATACCCATATTTCATTAAGACACATACAAATTAATTATCTTATGTAATTACAAAAACAAGTATAACTAGTAAAATCAACTTAAGAGACAAACACCACTGGCCCTTGGGAAGCCTATAACCATCAGACCTGCTGCAGGTAATAGGGGAGTGATCCATTGGCTTGAGCATTTTCATGCGGTCAAAAGTTACCATGTTTACAGAAGGAAGGGAGAGTGGCTCACACATGTGGAGTTCATTTAACAAATCTACTTTACAAATCCAAGTTAACTTCATAGAATGAAATTTTAGAAAATTGGGAATGTTTCTCATAATCACAAAATCTTTACTGTATAAGCAATAGAACCTTATGGTCTGCCAATAAGATTCTACTCAATAACTACTGAATTAAACATCTTGTCTTGTAGTCTTTCTTCAAAGAACTGAGAGAAAACTAATAAACCAACCTGGGCAAATTACCAGTTGCCATCTGTCTTGCCAATGGGTTTCAGCCCCAGGCAAGTTTGCTACGGATTCAGTGTGACCAAAGAAATTGACAGCAAAATGTTCTTGGGGTGAAAGGGTTACACCCAAGTTTATTTCCAGGTGGCAGGTCAGTCACTAGAATCCCATTTACTCAGAGCGAGTCTGCAGGCAGCAAGCCAGTCTCTGCCTCTGGGCCCCTCTGTCTGCACAGCCATCCTCTGGGCCTCTGTCCTTGGTGCTGCCACCACTCCAGCCTTTGCTCTGCTCTCCTGCAGCCTTGCAGCCCTGCCACTGTGTCCTGCCCAGAGCATTGGGCGGAGC